ACCATGTTGCCCAGAGTGGCTTCAAATTCCTGAGCTCAGGCAATCCACCCGTCTCAGCCTCCCAAAGTGCTGGGATTGGGATTATAGGCATGAACCACCACGCCCGGCATAGGGAAGCATGCCATTTTTTAACAGCTTTATTGGGGTATAACTGACACATAAACTGAACATATTTATGTACAACTGGGTACATTTTAATATGTGTATGTCCCTGTGCAACAACCATCACCACATTAGGACAGAGAACACGTCCATCCATCACTGCCATAATATTCCTTGTGTCCTTCATAATGCCTTTCTGCCACACCTCTAGTCTCCAGACAACTGCCAGTCTGCTTTCTCTCATTATGTATTAGTTTGTGTTTTCTAGTATGTTATGTAAGTAGAATCCTACAATATGTATCCTTTTTCTGTCTGGTGTATTTTACTCAGCATGATTATTTTACATTTTATCCATGTTATGATATGTATCAGTAGTTTATTCTTTTTTATTGCTGGGTAGTGTTTCCATGGTTTGGACGTGCCACAATTTTGTTTGTCCTTTCATCTGATGATGGATATTTGGTTGTTTCCAGTTTGAGGATATTACAGATAAAGTTGCTATGAACATTTGTGTACAATTTTGTGTAGAGACACAGGCTGTCTTTCTCTTGAGTAGGCACTAAGGAGTGGAATGTCTGGATTATATGGCAGGTGTAATGTTTAACTTTTGAAGAAACAACGAACTCTTTTCCAAAAATATTGTGTGATTAACATTTCTACCTGCACTGTATGAGTTTCAGTTCTTCCACATCCTCACCAACACGCTATATGGCCAGTCTTAATAATTTTAGACATTCTGATAGATATGAGGTGGTATTGCATTGTGATTTTAATTCTATTTCTTTAATAATATTGAGCATCTTGCCATGTGTTTATTTTCCACCTTTTTTTTATTTGATGAATTATCTGTTTGAATCTTTTGCCAATATTTTTTTTTTTATTCTTTTAAGTTCTGAGGTACATGTGCAGGATGTGCAGGTTTGTTACATAGGTAAGAATGTGCCATGGTGATTTGCTGCATCCATCAACCTGTCACCTAGGTATTAAGCCCAGCATCCATTAGCTATTTTTCCTGATTCTCTCCCTCCCTCTCTGCCCCACCTCAAAAGGTGCCAGTTTGTGTTGTTCCCTTCCCTGTGTCTGTGTGTTCACATTGTTCAGCCCCCACTTATAAGTGAGAACATGTGGTATTTGGTTTTCTGTTCCTGCATTAGTTTGATGAGGATGATGGCTTCCAGCTCCATCCGTGTCCCTGCAAAGGACATGATCTCATTCCTTTTTATGACTGTATAGTATTCTATGGTGTATATGTACCACATTTTCTTTATCCAGTCTATCATTGATGGACATTTGGGTTGATTCCTTGTCTTTGCTATTGTAAATAGTGCTGCAGTGGACGTACATGTGTATGTATCTTTATAATGGAATCGTTTATATTCCTTTGGGTGTATATCCAGTAATGGGATTGCTGGGTCAAATGGCATTTCTGGTGCTAGGTCTTTGAGGAATCCCCATACTGTCTTCCACAATGGTTGAGTTAATGTACATTCCCACCATCGGTGTCAAAGCTTTCTTATTTCTCTGTAGCCTTGCCAGCATCTGTTGTTTCTTGACTTTTTGATAATTGCCGTTCTGACTGGTGTGAGATGGTATCTCATTGTGGTTTTGATTTGCATTTCTCTAATGATCAGTGATATTGAGCTTTTTTTTCATATGTTTGTTGGCCACATAAATGTCTTCTTTTGAGAATTATCTGTTCATGTCCTTTGCCCACTTTTTAATGGGGTTGTTTGATTTTTTTCTTGTAAATTTGCTTAAGTTCCTTGTAGATTCTGGATTTTAGGCCTTTGTCACAGGGATAGATTGTGAAAATATCTCCCATTCTGTAGGTTGCCTGTTCACCAGAAGCTCTTTAGTTTAATTAGATATCATTTGTCAATTTTTGCTTTTGTGGAAATTGCTTTTGACATTTTTGTCATGAAAACTTTGCCTGCGCCATGTCCTGAATGTATTGCCTAGATTTTCTTCTAGGGTTTTTATAGTTTTGGGTTTTACATAGTCTTTTTTTTTTGAGGACCACAAACATTTTTACTTTTATTGTATGCACTTCATGTTACACTCTACATTGTTCACTAGTCTAAGTGAGATAATACATGACATATGGAGGAATGCTATTTATAAAATACCCAAAACCTTTCAAGTTTTTGCTCATTAATTTCACCTGCTCAGAAATAATTTGCATCCCTGGGCACAAATTTCATTTCCTTCATAATGTCCACAATATGGAACAATTATTAGTAACAAAGTATTGCAAAAGATGCGAAACAAGAACACGAAAATGGAGTGCAAGAGGAAGACAACCCATTTACATGGTAGTTTATAAACAAGCTAAGGCCTGAGAAATGAATTTTAGAACTAAATTCAGTTTTTTCCATAAACCAAAGTTATATTATCCTACCTATAAATCATGTACAAATACTTGTGAAATAGGCTTTCTTAGAATAAACCCGTTTTGAATCACTCAGCACAATTCAAAGACAAAAGGTAAAGATCTTTCATAAAGCCTTTTTTAAAATTTTTATTTTTTGCAGGGCTACCCCATAGGCTGTGCACCCAGAGTAGCTGAGAAAAGCCTTTTAAAAACCCGAGATGCACTTCACACAAACTAAACCCTGATTTTGCATGTAATGGGCTGTTGATTTGGCTTAATTTTATCACACACAAGACTTGCCACAATAGTGAAGGGAAGACAAAGTCAGGCTAACAACAAAAGAAATCACAAATACAACAGTACATTTCAGTTGAGATCAGGTACTGTTTATTAGCTGACCAGCTTAGAAAAATAATCATGGTAGACACCTTAGTTCATTCTTCTAATAAGCCTGTTGATCTAATCTTCCCTGTGGCCAGCATCTCCACCTTCTACAAAATGGGTGGTCTTTTTCTTCATTCGTGGAGATCATTTGAAGGGCCACAGGAAGTTATTTCCTTCTTTGAACCGTTTTCCAACAGTATAGATCTCATGAATCAGATCTTCCATGCAGATGATGCCATATTTTCCAATAGATCGAGCAATCAGAGCATCATCTGTCAAAGCAATTCGATTCTTTTTGATTTTGCCATAACCACGTTTGTAGATTAGTTCATTTACTGACTTCAGATTTGTATGCCACTATACAATATATGGCTCTACAATCCTCAGCATGTTAATTGAAGCCTTGTTGAGCTTCACAAAAGTTCCATTGAAGATTTGACGAAGGCAAAGAAGCTGCAACACCTTTCGGACCTTTGGTCTCACACCATTGATACCTCTGATCCTGATGACAGACGCCAATTTGGGTTCTGCAGGTACACAGAAGCTGCTGGCTTTCCTTGCTATCCTTGCCATTCGAATTTCAGTTCTATGCATCTGCCTATATTCCTTGTGATAGTGCTTCGCTTTTTCGTAGATAAGCTTCCTCACCTTTCGAAGCATCTTTTGGGCAAACTTCTTTCTCAGGCGCTTGATCTTCAGCTCTGCGAAATTCCTGCTCTTTTTCTTAAGGGTTTCTGGCCCAGCAGGAACCTTCTTCTTCTCTTCTACACCCTCTAAGGTTCCAGCCAGAAAAAGAGCTACATTTAGTCTTTAATCCATCTTGAGTTAATT